TTTTATTATATTTTTATACACAGTTGAAAGTTTATAATTTGTGATAAATAGATTTTCTTGTATCATTGTATGATATCATATATTTTATTATCTAGACCTTCTTTCAATGTATTTTCTTTTATTTTTTTTTCACTTTCTACAAATTTATTGTAATTTTTGTAAGTGATTTTTATTCTTCTTTATTTTCTGATATTGTGTTTTCTATCATTTCTTCTTTTTATTTATTTCTTTATTATAATTTCTCTATTTCATTTATTATTTTCTTATACTTCAAGATCCTTTCTATTGTTGTATATCATAATATTAATTGAGTATATTTGAATAAAAGAAATGATATAAAGAAATGAAGAATATGATAATGAAAATAGAAAAAAATAAAAGATATTAAAATAATTGCAGTAGTAATTTCAATAAATTAATTAGTAAATTTTGAAATTATTAAATTAATTAAAGAAATAAAAAATGAAATTGATAATATAAAAGAAGTTAAAAACATTGTAATTAAAAACAAGATTGATGTCATGGAACAATATTTCTACAACAACCAAATATATTTTGTAGAATTACATGATGAAGATTCATTGACAGGATTAGTCTCACATAATTCAGGAATAATAGTCACAAGTTTTATTAATACTTAATTAATTGCTTTTTATTTTATTATTTTCTTAATTATTTCTTTAACTTCTTCTTCTTTGATTTTTATTTTATCTTTATTCATTTATAATCTTATATATTTTCTAATATATATTTTCTTTATTTATATTATTTACAGCTAATTCTTGTAATTATTTCATCATTTTTTTATTAATTTTATAGATTTTTATTATTTTTATCATATTTTTCATTTCATCTTTGTGTTTAGAATATTTATTTTCTTTTGTATATTCATATATTTTCTTTTCTTTTTCTTTATTATTTATCATTTTATCATCATTTTTATATTCTTATTTTATTATTTTTCTATTTTAAATATATATAAAGAATTTTATTATTTTGTTTTATTATTTTTCATTTGTTAATAATCATCACTCAGTGTAATTCTGATTAGTTTCTTTACTTTTGTATCATTTTCTTTCTCAGTATAGTTTTACTCTCTGAAATTGATGCTCACATTTTTTTTTCTTATTCTTTTTCTATTATTTTATTTAAATTTCTTTTTAAATTTCTTTTTCTTATTTCTTCTATTTCTTCTTCATTAATATCTTTTTTTCAAATGTATTATTTTTTGAATAACAATATATCTATACTTATTATATTTTTTTTTCTTATTCTTAAGATTTATATATATTAATTATTTTTTTCCTTGTTTTGTACTATCATATTTATATTCTCCTTTATTTATGTTTTCTTCTTTATTAATTGTTTCTATTTCTGTTTTAAATTAATTAAATTCTGCATATATTATTTTGACAATCTCTTTTATTATTTCTATTATTTCTCTTATACTTTTTATTCATTTGACCCTTTCTATTTTTTGTTTTATTGTTACTTTCCTTTCTATATTCTTAACTATTTCATCTTTTCTTCTTCATTTCATCTTTTTTTCCTATATTTCTTTCTCTATTATTTGTCTTTATTTGTTTCTCATATTTTCTTTCTTATTTTTTTATTTTCTTCTATCATTATTTATCATTATTTTATTACTTAATTATTTAACATTTTATACTTCTTTATATTTATAATTCTTTCTTCTTTGATTATTATTTTCTTTCTTATATTCTTTTTCTACTAATTCAATACCTTTTTTCTTTCTTTTCATTCTATTATATATTATTATCTTTTTGTATATTCTTTTTCGTTTCTTTTATTTCTGTAATACCTTTTCTAATTCTTTTATTCATTATGTTTTATATTACTAATTCATTTTTATTATTTTGATATTCATTATCCGTATATTTTTGATAATTTTATGGTGCCTTAATCATCTTAGGTTATGAATCTTATGATAATATAAAAGAAATAACATATTATTGATGTAATTGTACAAAATGAAAATATAACAAACAGATATTTAAATAAATTAATAAATACGAATATTACAATAGAAATTAATGAATATAAAGATAAGTAGAAATTATTTAAGTTATGATATCTTGTTGATTTAATTAAAAATTATCAATAAGAAAACTAAAATAAATAAAAAATGATTTAGATATAACAATAATGATATTACAAATTAGACAAATGAAATTATGTATTAATTATATAATAATTTGAATTATAATGATATAAAATCACAATATAGTACATTGATAAAAGACTCTGATAATATAGAGAGTGATGATGAAATTAATAATAATTATAATAATGTAACATCTCAAAAACAATAAGAACATTGATAAACAAATAAATACCATATTAGATTATTTTTAATGTTTCTATCAAACTCTACTTTTAATAATAAAACGTATTATATAATACATGTATATATTTTATTATGTTTTGGTGACAATACAATTATATAAATGATATTCTACCAGAGTTTTAAAAATAAATACAAAAATTGATAGTTTAATAAGAAATGTAAAATAATAATAATAATAATAATATAATGTTAATAGAAAGTGTAATAGAGATATAGATTCATTAGTTGATATTATATACTATGTATAATGATATATATTAGTATAAGTTGTGATTGCCACGTCAACAGTCACATTCTCTTTTCCAATATAATTATTGTCACAATTATACTAGTCACACGACGCGAAGCGTCGTATGCGCCCGTAGGGCGCATTGTGACTAGTATAATTGTGAGACAATAAGAATATATACAAATGCCACGTCATCATACAGTCACAATTTATACTAATATATATCATTATAAATGGTATGTATGATATTAATGATCCCCTCTTTGTTATTAATGAATCTATATCCTTTATTACACTTTATATTCTCTTTATTACACTTCTATATCTCTTATTAACATTTCTATATCTCTTATTAACATTTCTATATCTCTTATTAATCTATCCTTCTATTTATTTCTATTCCCTTCTTCTTTTATACTTATTATATCTTTTCTTTTCTTCTTCCATTCTTCTCAAATTGATAATATTTTTTATGTTATTTTTAACAAATTCTATTTATAGTAATGATATGACATTTGGACTTTTTGATTTTTTTATTAACATTTTTTGATTAAAATTTTTTGTAAAAAATCGGGAAACTTCAACCTGACGAGATCTTGAGTGGAATAATTTCAAGTTAATAGTAAAACAAATAATTTAACAATAAACTATACTAATATTTAATTACCCTACAATCTGGATATGCTCATTAGATCTTACAATGTACGGTACATCAGCTAATAATGTTAGACACCTATTTAATGATTCTGAAGAAGAAACTGAACTTGATTATAGGACTATTACTATTACAGATTTTACTCAGTTACTACAAAGTATAGAAGATATTAGTATTACTGCTTATACACTATCAGAAGGAGTTAAGATGTCTTTTGAAAAGACACCTCTCAATATGCTCAACCATGTAATAAATACGCATATTGAAGTAATAAATGAATTAGGAAAAAAGATTAAGTTGTTTAAGAAGAAGAACCAACTTATACTTGAAGAGTTAAAAGAGGAAAAGAAACAGAAAGAAGAAAAAATTAAAGAAGAGACAAAACCTCAGAGGAGGAAAACAGAATTATTATAATTCAATTAATTGATTAATTTATTTATGTTTGTTTTATTTTTAGAAAATGTCATTCGTTTTTTGTTATTGATTTCTAAAAATAAACAAATTTGTTATTTAAACACGTAGATAAAAAGCATTCAATTAAAGTGCTCAATGTCTGGTTGATAATAACCAGTGCGGATTTGGTTGAGCAAATAGACCAAAGGTTTGGAGTCAAGCAAATTAGACTCGATATCCTTAATAAGGAAGTCGAGCCACATAAGTAAGTACTTGGTTGGTCGAAGATTATACTCATGGTCCCAAATACGGAACCAATAGACCAAACCATAAAGTACAATCTCAGCAGTTTCATCGGTGGCTCGACTAAGCTGCTGTCTAACTTCTCTAGCAACAGCACTGAGAAGAATAGAAAGGTTTAATTTAGGTTGACTGTACTCCATTAAATGCTGATAACATTGTTAGCGGCGTTTAAATAACAAATTAGCATGTCTGTATGAGGCAGAGGAATTGTCTGTTATACTATAATTATAATAAAAGTATAATAAGATAAAAATAGAATTGTCTGTTTTGTCTCTTTTATCTGTGATTGTCTGTCTGAATGCCTGCTACATCTAAATATTTAAACAGATGAGACAAGATGGACTACACCATGGACGCAGAAGATAAAGTTCTAGTTACCAAGTTTGAAGATATAAATGTAAATGATTTGAATAATTTCTTTCAAGACATGTTTAGCTTGAAAGATTTATGTGATGACTTTGTAGAACTATTTAAGAAAGAGGAAAGATATTATACCAATGAAGAGAAGTATAATGAAATTCTAGATGAAGAAGTTGAAGTGCTAAATTATATCCATCAATTATCTGAAGAAATAAGAGAAGGATACGAAGAAGTAATAGCAGCGTTTTATAGTAGAAGAATAGAAAGAAAGAAAGAGAGATTAATGAAAGCTTTTAAAGAGGTTGAAAAGAAACCAAAACACCCCAAAGAAGAAGACAAGTAATTAAAAATAATTAAATTCTTTTTAATAAGTATTTTGTTTAATTAAAAATTAAATAAAATAGAATAAAAAAATGAATTAGTCATCCAAGTCATTAACAAAATTGAAATTCTCTAATAATTCTAATAACCCACCTAGTTTATTAAATCGTTGTTCTTTTTTGCAAGAATCAACGAAACCTGTAATATAAAAGAAGAGAACATCACTATAATTATAGTGAGTCTCCTCGAATCTCCTCATAAAATAAAGAATGGAGTATATTAAACATTTTGAGTCCAAATCCAAATCTTTATTATCGAGGAGACCTTTGCTAGTTTCGTCGATGTCTTGCAAGATACTCGACAAAAGAGGGAACATGAAATGAAATAAAAAGTACCAAACTCTAAATAACCTATAAAACGTGTAACCAACACATAAACAGACACTCAAACAGACAGTTCTAAATTTGGTTTACTATATCTTTACTATATTCATAATTTGATATGCAATTTTATAACCTCAAAAAGATACACACAAACAATAAACAGACAAATACATACAATAAAAACAACTCATAATTTTAAACGAAGCAACAAGAACACATGTCCAAAGGAAAGTACTACGAATTTAACTCGAGTTATGGTTTTGCTACTATTAACTACGACCAAAACCATAAAATCTTGACATTAAACGAAATAAAAAATGCCTTGCAAACTTGGACATCAACCAAAACCAAGCCATCGAAAATTGAATATTTAGCCGTCAGCACTGTAACCAAAGGAGATAACAAACACGCGCACGTGTTTTTTAAACTAGATGAAACCGCACACTCTCGAAAAAGACCATTAATAAATGTAAACAACACAACATATTCTGTATTCTTCACAGCAGTAACTGAACATCCAGAATTCGATGGATCATTTATGAATATAATTAGATATTTAGAGAGACAAGCAAAGAAGCACGGAGAAGAAGCTAAATTTGAAGAATTTGGCAAAAGACCCAACACAAAAGGAAGAATTGGAGGCAATGAAATTATGAAAGCCTTGAATATTCCAACTCTTAAAGAAGCCAGTGCCTATTTACAAGATTCATCTCCCATGTGGTGGCTAAACAATGGAAAGAAATTCAGAGATGCATGGAGAGAGAAACACGCTAACGATAAAACAGAACGTATTAAAATTAAATTATTTCCTTGGGACGAAAATAATTCATTAGTAAAAAATGCGAGAGCTTGGCTAAAGATAGTAAAATCGGGGAAAGTAAAAAGAACCAAATTACTTGTGTTGTTGGGAGAAACAAGAATAGGAAAAAGTGAGTTCATAAACGATCTCTTAAAAGATACCAAGGTACAAGAATTTCGAGGAAGAGTAATGTTTGATGGAAAAGACTCGCTCGCTAAATATGAAGTAAGACTATTTGATGATGCTAATCTAGCTGCAATGGATTGGTTCGAATTTAAAGCAATAGTTAGTACAAATGGAGAAAAAATTACAATGAATGTAAAATATGACCATGCTGATGTAATAAGTCTTCCAACCATTGTAGTATTAAATACTGAGAACTGGAACTTAATGAAAGAAATAGCTAAAGAAAGAGGAGATGCTAAATGGTTAGAAGAGAATGCCACTGTATTGTTTTCAAAAGACAAGCTATATAAACAACCAGAAAGAAGAAAGAAAAGTATAGAAGAACTAAAACAAATCTACGGTGATTTAGATCCAGATATATTAAGTATGTATAGCCAAGCCGATGATGAAGAAGTAGATAATGAAGAAGAATATCTCAATTCAAGTGATTCTATAGAAGAAGCGAGATTATTATTAGAACAAGAACAGCCAGTAATAGATGAAGAACCAACAAAAAGAATAGCAGTAGACGACCATGAAATATACAAAAAATTCTTTGATGTAAGTAAGAATATAATCAGTCAACAAGGAAAAAATAAATACATTACGACACAAAGTGGGAAAAAGATAAAGATTGCTAGTAGAGATAACAGTGAAGAAGAAGAAAGTGAAGATGATCCTGAAGAATTAGCTAGTAGATGGACAGGTGGAAATTTTTAATTAATTCTTTTTATGGTTTATCTTTTATTTTTTATAATTAGATATTGGTAAATACCAAATAGATTGAAAAGAAAATAAACAAATTGATGAAGGTACTATTCTACTAACAGTGTTTGATAGAAATAATGAAGTTATTAAAGATAAAATATAAAACAAAAAAAAGAATTAAACATCATAATACTCTTCATAATAATAACTAGGATAGTCATCAAGGTTAGTTACAGTCACAATACTACTATTAGGAATAGAAGTTAGATGAAGCCACGTTGCTAAACCAAATAGATAAAGTTGGATAAAAATTACGAAAGATAATGACAGACATTCATAAACATCAAAAACATCCTCTAATACCATCAGAGCCCAAAGGATACCAAATGAAAGACTCAAAAAATGAAGAAATGAAAAGGGACCAGAATAGAGATAAAACTGCCACATTAGATTTACAAATAAACAAATGTTCAAACATTTCAGACTAACATCAAGAAGATTCATTAAATTAATGACCATTTAAAGATCACTACACATCATTATATATTTGTAATTACGTCATAAAGTTATAAAATAGAATCAAAAAGAGATAAAAAATAGAGACCCTAAAAGAGATAAATTATATATTTAAACATCACTATCAATCTCATTAATCATTTGACATGAATACTATAAAGGATATCATTGGTGATTATGCCCTTGGAAAATACAAGAATATGACTATTGATGAACTAATAGATTGTATGCAACAATTAATTTATATTATTGATGAAGAAACTACTCCAGAAGAGAAATTAGCATTGAAAAAACCATATTGGAGTCTTGTATATAGAATAGCTAATGGAAAAGGTTTAATGTGGGATTTACCAAGAAAGAAGAAAGAAGAAAAAACAGAAGAAGAAAATAAAACATATAGAAAATTAATAAGAGATAAAAAAACAGAAGAAAGTAAACCAGAGAAAAATGATAATTAAATTTATTTATTAAATTTATTTATTTGTGTTGTATAATAATGTTTTGTTTTACCTTCTGGCATAGAATAAATTATACTTTGTAAATTTTTAGCAGTACGTGAATCATTACCAATTATACTTTCTTGTAACATTTTTTGATGTAATGATGAATTTTTAGAAGGATTATCAAGTGATTGTGTTGTTATTCCATTTATTGTTTGATTTGAATTAATATTATTTTCAACATATGGATTATTTCCTTTTATAACATAATCAACAAGATTATCTTTATAATTTGTTATTACTTCTTTAGCTGATTTTCCATCTGCAATATCATTTAAAAATTGTCCTCTTACATATTGATTATTAGCACCACGATCATATAATCCTGTTATAATACTTCCACCTGGTAACATTCCTAATATTGGTTTAGCAACAGGAGATACTTTATACATTGCATTTCCTATCCATTTATATACTTTTCCTCCTATTCCTGCTATTTTCTTTCCAATATTTTTTACTCTTTTTTTATTCCTTTTTAGTACACCAAATCTTGTCATATCAAATAATAAAAAATAGTTAATTAATTATAGATAATCATCAATACTATCATTATCAGAATATTCATCTATATTTGTATTATTACCATTAAGTGGATTAGCAAAAAGTGCAGGTATAGATTTATTAGATTGTTGTATTCCATTATTTGTTTTTCTAATATGTTCTGGTACTTGATTTATTATTTTACTTGCTGTTTTAGTAATATCATTTGGTATTTCATTTTTAACTTGATTTAAATATCTTTTAGTTGCTCCAACAACATTTTCACCTGATGCTATTCTATTTAATACTTCACTTGTTGGTTCTGCTATTTTACTAATTACTTCTGTACCTTTTTTAATTATTTCACCACCTGGAATAAAATCTGATGCTATAGAAATAAGTGGTTTTGCTTTTTCTATCATATTTCCACCTAATTTAGCACCAACTGCTAATGCAGCTGCTAATTTCTTTAATCCTTCTTTGAATCTTTTCCAATTACCAAACTTCATAAATGAAATAAAAGATTGAACTAATAAATCAAAATAAACAGAATGAACTATAACGTTATTAAAGCATTAGATCAAGAAGAAACAGGTGACCTTATTAAATACTTTAATTATACAGATGGAATACTTGAAGCTAATTCAGGTGTTCATGATAATAAATGTTTATCAATTGATTCATCTGATCCACCATGTCCTGTACAAAAAGGAATGTATACTAAAGTAAAATTAACAGATGAATCAATTCAAATTACAAATATAGATAAATCATCTATTACAGCATTAGTTAGAATTCAAATTAAACCAACAGAACAATTTTGGACACAAATAAGTGATACACAAGAAGGAGATATTTCAGCATTTCAAACAGGAAGATTAACAGCAATAGAATATTTTGTAGGATTAAAATCATCAACACATTTATTTGATGCATATAGAGTATATTCAAGAAATAAGAAAACAGCATGTGAACAAACAGAAGCATTATATGAAAATGCAGCTATTAGAATGTTAAAAGCACAAGAAGAATTAGATTATAAACCAGGAATTTATACACAATGGGAATCAGCATATAATCATGAAGATAATGTATGTGGATGTTATTTTAATCTTCAAGAAATTATTAAATCACCAAACAATACAATTGAAAAAGAATTTGAAGTAATTATTCCAATAGATGATTTATTACCATTTGCTGCCATGAAAATGTTTCCTAATGCATTATTTGGAAATTTAACACTTGAAGTTAAAATGGCAATTCAACAAAATTTTGTTATTTGTCAATGTAATCAAGGTGTTATTGCAAATAAAATTACCAAACAAATAAATTCACCAGTTAAAGGAAATTCATTAGTAGTTACAATTGGACTTGATCAAATGAAAGAACGTGATTATTATGGTGTATTAAATAGTAATCATGAAAATTGTTCATTTACACAAATTGGAGATACATTTATTACATCAATAATGTCATTACAGAAAGATAATAATCACGAATTAGGTGTTCTCACACCAAAAAATATCAAAAGTTGTTTTACTATCACAGATGGAAGTTTAAGATATTGTAGAACAAATATTAATGGATTTAATATTAAAGATAGTATATTAAATGAATTAATAACAAAATATTCATCAAAAGAATTAATTATTCCTTCTCAAATATGTTGATTATCAAGCATTTCACAAAAACCA